ATGATGTGGGAGTATAAGCAGACAGCAGCAGGATCCACAGGAGCAAACATGTACATCTACAGGCAACACGGCTTCATTAGTTATAATCATGAACGGTCACTGAGATCACATTGGTCAGAGTTGATCAGTAAATACCACTTTAGCTCCCTCAGACCTGTGAGCTTCCTCACAGAGGTGATCAGCTGCATGTATGTTAGTCGCTGCATCACAGTAGGATGTTGTTCTGATCCGTTTACTGGAATCAAAAAGGTTTTTCTGCCACGTCATGTTTTTGTATTCAGGACATTTTTCCATTGCACAACCAGTGTCATTAATGTGTTTGCATTTTAAAACCTCTTCGATCATTACAGTCGCTCCCAAAATATGACAATGAAGGCACATTTAATTACCCCCTAAGTGGCTCAGTAGATAAATTTGAATCACATATGATTGGTGGAATTGAAACTAATAATTAATGATGGATATTTTGCTTATTGGTTGAACTCCACCCTCCCTTCAAAACCAGAATTTCTGAAAGTCAGTTATGTCTTTATGTATTTCTGTGTGCCACCCCCAGAATATATGAAAAATGTGTTCAACTTTGTTCAACTGAAATGTGAATAATTGGGATTTAAGTGCTGGTGTTTGTTTTCTGACTTTGTGCTGCGTGTTGAGTGATTTAAAAGAAAAGAATGAAAACATGAAACATGAGGTGAAGCACGTTTTCAGTCAGACTTTCGTTTGAATAATAAAACCCTGCTGACTTTACAGCTACAGGATAGGTGTGTCTCCTTCCATTCAGCATTAAGCTTTAACGCAGTTTTGCTCCCACGGTCACTTCCTGATACACCTGTTTGGCAGGTACGCAGGCACACTGCTGGCGCAACGGAGCCGCTGAGTCATGATCCAGTAGACATGGACGCAACTTTGGCGAAACTTTGACGCAACTTAGTTTCTTTTTTTTTTTTTTTTCCGTATCGTCACACAAACAGGAGCCGTTTTCACATCTGAAGATGCGTCTCCCGCTTCGAGGAAACCCGGTTTTGCTGCTGCTGTGGCTGCTCGGGGCTTCGGGTGAGTAAAGCGGCCGCGGCTCGGTGCGTCGCCGCGTCCCGACACCAAACCGTCCGCTCAGTTCTTCAGCTGTAAACATCAGATCCGCTGTTTGTTCCACTATATTTTGTATTTAAAGCAAGTTTTAGCTGGAGTTAAAAGTTCTCTGCGCGGTTCTCCACACGCGTAATGTCCCCCCAGAGAGAGTCCAGAGGAGGCAGGCCTGAAGGATCAGAGCGACCTGCGCCATGTTCGGTTCAGCTGATCAGCCGCGTCTCAATCCAGCTGGTTCCGATCAAATGTGTTTTAAATCTAATTTAGACGACCACGTTTTTAAATATCAGACACATTAGGCTGTGGTGGACTCCACCTCCTCCAGCTGAACTCTGTTTACCTGTCAGCTAATGAGCAAATACCCGCATGGAGACATCAGGGGTCCATTAGGACTGGACGGACCACCAGCATGATCCTCCCCAGGACCATCACACCGGGTCTTGTGTTCCAGTTGAAGATGTAGCATGTTGGATAAACCTGGCATTGGGACATTAAGTTTTTCTGCTGTATACACACTGCTTAACTAATTCATTAGACCACAACCCAGAGTCAGGTTTACGCCACAGCTGCTCTAAATCAACAGCATTGGTAATTACAAAATGAATTTCTTATGTTTCTGTAATGGTTAATACACCAGTATGTAGAAACTCTATAAGCAAAAGGACATTTTTAATACTAAAACATAATTATTTTTGTTATCCATGAATTTTCTAATTTACTGTTTGACAAAAAAAATGAAAAAAATAGAAAAACACATTATAAATTCTTGATTAGGATTTTAAATTATAGTTATTTACTTTCATTCCTGAACAGAAAAATTAGTTTTAGTGGTTGAATGTGATGCTTGAATCATTTCTGACTTCTCAGAGAAGCCCAGTGACTCAGACATAATAAAGTGAACTCGGTTTGAAATTCCTCCGTCCTGTTCAAAACGCTAAAACATCAAGAGCTGAGTGGCGTTAAAGCACTTTATGGTGCTGGAGGGTATATAAGGTGCTTAACAAGCTAGACAGGTGGTCTAATACATTTGTTAAGCACTGTATGTATATATATATATGTGAAAATTACAGGAATTTTCACCTCGAATAACCCTGATTTGAAAAGTGTAATCATGTTAGAGTGATTAGGGTTGCACACAGATGTTTAAATTCTGAATTCTTTCTCATGTGGTACATGTGGAGAAGGTATCCAAAACAGTTTATGTTCTTTGGATATCATTCAGATCTAGTTATCACTCAGAGCCTTGTGTTGCTGATATGAGTGGTCAGAGGATTAAAGTCGTGATGCTTCCTGCAACAATCGCTGCCGACAAAGTTCCTGTTTTTGCTCAGTGCTACATACGACCGGTGTTGTGTTTCTTCTTGCAACCAAATCCTCCCTTTCAGTGTTTCTCTTCTGCTCCTCGCTCATTGTGCACATGTGGAGCCTGGACGTCGACAAACTCTGTTTCTTGTGAATTCAACTCGGGTCATCTGGGAGCTCTTAAACTTGGACTAAGTTGTGTTCCATCAGAGAGACATACTTTACAGATTGGTCACAGAAAGCAAGAACTGTGCACGATGTGTTTGAGTTCTTATTTCACGTCACACTTCCTGTGATGAGATGTTGCTCAAGCACAGATTACAGCGTTGATACTGAAATGAGATCCGGTGCAGCTTCAGTTTTGGTTTTTTATCAATCTAAGGAGGAAATATCTCAGTTAGTGTAAAAGGAAACACAAAATTCACAACAACAAAAAAAACATCCTCAGTTCTGCAAAAGGTTTATTCCGCACCATCAGTGATGGAAACACCTTTTACGAATTAGTCCTGACATGCTGAACATTTAACACGACTGACTTGTTTTGACTTTCATCGGCTTCACCCACTTGTCCGATCTGTTAGCAGTCAACGTTGCTGCGTTCCCATTCACATACTGCTTCTTGTTACTGTACTTCCTGCAGCTGCCCCTACAAAGTACACGGTGTGCATGCAGCTGGGACATAACGCTTCGACACCACGCTGCGACTAAACTTGGACCGTTGCAGTTTGTAGTGACAAATGAGCTGTCGTCGCTCGGTGCTCTTTTGGTGGCTCGGGCTTGTTTATGGACCCTCAAGTGTGTGACATAACTGTGCAGAGGATTGTGGGTCAGAAAAGCACGCTGCCGTGTACAGCAGGACATCCAGTTATTTTAGGCATACTGCATTTGATATACTAGAACTTTTTCTAGCGTTTGAACACAGGCCTGATTTTATTTCTGGCTGCTTCTACTCTTTTTTTTTGTTTGTTTAATGTCGCCTGTAGCGCCCCCTTCTGCCCACGATACGCTGTCTTGATTATTTACTGCAGAACAGCCAATGGAAACTTGTTTGCACTTTCAGGCATGACGACTCCCTGTGTCCTCCTTTGTGTTTTTGGTTTAGTAACGCATGTGTTTGACACATTAAGGGGACGTCTGCCTGCTGACATCTACAGAAACAGACACGGCTCATAATAACGATAGGCCGGAGTAAGAAACCAGGCTTGGAAAGAGGCTGACAGCTGGTATGCAGTGAGTTAAGAGCACTGTCTTTTTGCCAAGTACATTACAAACATGGATGTAGACTGTGGACTCCCCCTCTCTCTTTCTAAACATCTGGCCTTTTTTATTGTCGGAGGGGGAAAAGTGAGAGATGCACCCGGTAATGGAAACTCTTGAAATAACATGAAAACCCAGGGGAGTGGTGTCATGCTTCCTCTTCGTTTTGATAAACACACAGTTCGCCCGATGTGCAATGTGTCTTCCCGGACGTCTGTAAACAAATGCAGCCCGTTTCTCCCACCAGGGTCACATCAGGACAGCTCGGAGACGATCACAGTAAGATGCTGTCCTCGCTTTTTTTCCCCCCTCTCTCAAATAAATGTCCAGAAAGCGGGTGTCAACAGGAGCATTGATGAGCTGCCAGCGCTCCCGTCCCACCACTAATTACTAGTTTGTCAGCATCTATCATGTCTTCAAGTTCAAGAGCGGTTCAGCTTTCAAGGCTCCGCTGCTCGATTTCCACTTTTATGAAGAGATAGCTTTGTTTGCGTCGTCGACTCGCTCACCCCGAGCTCTTTGTAGATCAATCAGGCTGATCGCATGAGATCTCTTCTGCTCCTTTGTGGAGGATAAACTTTGTCCTTATCACAGCTGTTGGAGTCTCTAATTTCACCCGTAGTGTCAGTCTAAGATTGGTTGTGTCTGCTGATTGCTGGGTTTGTTTAGCTCCTCGGAGGAAAGGCAGTTTGAGGCTTTTGAAATGGAAAAGGGCTTTTTATGCCCTGAAACAACAATGTGTTAATGTCAGCGATGTTGATACGGAGATACAGCCAGTTTTCCATGATTGCTTCATACTAAAGGCCAGGGGGACGCTGATGATTAAGATGAAGTCTTTGTTTTTATTTTGCACGCCAAGGACTGGGATTGGTTTAGTCTGAAATATCCCAACAACTGTCAACAACCCCCACGAGGTTGACATTTGGAGTTCAGACTGAAGTCGTATATCTGGAATACAATTTGCTCGATGTGCTCAGGGTCCCCACGGGATCGTTTCTAATTACTTTGGTGAGCTCCTAGACTTGCCAGAGTCCGGTAAAAAACGCTCACATGTTTAGCTAAATGGCTTGACATCTACTGGAGAACATTGAGTCGAGGCCTTCATGGTTCCCAGAGGATAAATTCTTTACACGTTGGCAACCGTGTTTCCTTTAGGTAGATGTTTACTGTTTTAGGTGAATTATCAGCTGTTGGATAGGTTGGTGTGGAACCTGCTACAGGCTGACTTTGGTGATACTGTGGACTTTTTAAACAGGACAACATCAACCCAAACCTTGGTCGTGCTGTGGGTTTATTAGCAGATACCAGCAAGCGTGTTAGAATATTTAGCATAATCTCCACATGCTTTCATATCTTCGTGGTCTGAATAACTGATGTGTGTCCAGTGACTGTGGAAACTCAAACAAGCACTTTTCTTGGTTTAAAAAAAAAAAAAAAAAGCCATTAGAGTTCAGTTCTTGTTCATGACCACGGTTGAGCAAGCTCCTAAGCAGCATTTCTAGCGGCCCGGACTCCTCCAGCACTCCTTGTGAAGTGATAACAATGAAAACACATCCACAGCGACACGGCGGCTTATCTGCAGCTGAAGCCCTGACAGACAGACAGACAGATGTGCGGCATGTCTGTCAAACTGAACAAGAGAGGCTGCTGTAGGAGAGTGTCACTCTAACAGAAGACTGTGCTGTGCTTTAACTTTCATGCCATCACGGTTCGAGCACATTTCTAGATGCTATCAGGTTTTTTATTTACTGTTGCGCTCAAAGTGAATGCTGTCACTCACCGTGTGTCCTCCTTTCTCTGTTTGTTTCCGCTCTCTTTCCTCCTTAACATGTGACTCCACTCGTATCGCATTTCACCTTCTTTCTCACTGACCTCTTCCGTCTTTGTTCTGTTCCTCCTTTCTAATATTTCCCCTGCAGCTCCTTCCCTGGTCTCCTCCATCACAGTGAGCACTCCAGCAGAGCTCCATGCATCTAGAGGCGACACCGTGGCGTTGTCCTGCACGTTCACCTCCACAAGTAGGCCAACCAGTAAGATGACGGTGGACTGGTCCTACAGGCCGCAGAGCGGAGGCCCGCCGCAGACGGTGAGTACCGATCCCTGTTAGAAACAAGACTCGACAATAAAAACTGTTAACATGAACGTACAAGATTTATTCGAAGCCATATAATCAGCCCATTAAAATGTATTGATCATAAACAATCTGGGCAACAAGTTTTCCATAAAACGTGTGTGTGTTGACATTTATTTATTCTGGATAGATAAACGTGTGAGAGGACATGAAGGCAGACGGCGTACAGTCGGCTCGTGGTGACAGTAATACTTTGTTTGTGACAGAAACATGTAATGATTTCTATAAAATGATTTTTAATACAATGAATGAGACCGTTACTGTTGTGTTGTTCTTCTTAAATGACTTTATAATGTCATTTGTTTTCTTCTTCTTGAGGCAGAAACTGATTTTGTTCCACAAACTATTCATCAGTTTGTTTATTCGTGGCTGGTTTTGTGAGCCTCATATTTAAGTGAATGTAAACTGAACTGAATCAGGAATTTTAGGGAGAACAGTGGTGGACATTTTGCATTATTTTGTCAATTTCTTTTTCTCCATTGGATTGACTAAAAACTGTCTTGGTTCTGTCACACAAACAACAGAACAACAAAAGCCTCACCTCGTATGTGAATGCCTTCATGCATATATACACACATGAATATATTACATTTCTGAATGAAACAAGGCCAGCTGACGTCATGGAGATTCAAAACAAAAGACTTCTCTCCATTTTTCTCTTGTAGATGCTAAAAGTTTAGTTTTTTTGTTCTGCCCCCTCAAGTTTTTTTTATTGGTTGGCAAACAACTGGTTTTGCTTCCAGCTTCTTCTACTCTGTTTATTACAGCGACGTGTGGCGTAGCCTACAGCGCCACCTTCTGACCACACGACACAGCCTAGAGGAGGATTTTCTTTTTTCCATTTTTGGGACAGTTTAATGTTTGTTTTTAAATTTCCTAAAACGCGTATGGACCTTCCAGGCCACATGGCGTCAGTTCCATTCTGTTTCTAACCCTGACAGACTGTTTGTTGTGTCGGCATGTGACTGTCATGTGACTTACTGCTCTGTACAAACCTGACTTGTTTGAATATGCGGTTGCTTTATTTGCATTCAGCTTGACTTTTGGTTTCAGAACCTCCCCGTGCACCTGCTGTGACAGCGATAATGTCCTAAAGCAAACTCAGCTCGGCCTCCGTTATAACATGGACACTGTTTGCACCAATAACTTTGATCTCCCAGTCCACCCTTTGTGTCTTTCCAAAGCTTCCCCAGTAGACTGTGGCTGGTTAGCTACCTTAAGACCTCTTCCTCTGTGATGGTGCTGCGGTCTCGTTTGAAATGTGTTCAGATGTGTCCGTCCCAACCCATAGCTGCACTCAGTCCTCTAACCCAGCACACTCCGGCTTGGGTTTCACTGACCAGTCCACAAACAAATGCACCGCATAATTTAAGAAGTTCCATTTGTACTTGAAGATAGCCATCATGTGTGGTTCTGAGTAATAGCATTTTGGGCTGTCGGAATCCATACTGTGGTAGCTGCAACCCTATATGCAATCATTTCCTATAGGAGCACTCAGCGTTAAGTGGAAGCTAATGTTCTGTGGCTCTGCTGATATGGAGTGCTGTTGGTTCAGTCATTAAGATGCAGTTGTTTGGTCTCAAAGAGTGCCGGGGGGAGGAGCAGGGAAAGCATGTTTTATGACATGGTGTGTGCATGCACGTGCGTCCGTCAGCAGATACCGTTGTGTTACCTCACAGCAATCAAAAGGTGTGTGTGTGTGTGTGTGTGTGTGTGCTGCTACCTGAGGAAAGGACACACCAGGACTACTAACGGTCTCATTTAGCCAAGCCCGACTGGCTTCCTTCTCTTTGTCAGAGATAAATAATAAGTGGCAGTTTCTTGATACGACCCATAGATGGAACTAAGTCTGGAAGTTTCTAATTTCTATTCCTCAGCCTTCATTTACTTCCCATCCAATTTCATTAGCAGTTTTGGCTGCTTTATTGGCCTGTGTGTCCCCGGTCGTATATCACACTGGGAGAGACCATGAATAAGCATGTGAAAACCTCTATCAGAAAATATAATTTTGCTGCCAAAGCTTTAGTGTCAATCTGAATTGCTGCAGTGCTTCAGTGGCCTGCATAATTACCTCAGTCCTGATGAGAATTAATTTTGTGGATTGGAGAAGAGAGGCTGGATGTTCAATCAAATACCAGTGGAGGCTGATGGTAATTGGAGGATCTGGCAATTGAATTCTGCTGAATAATGCTAAATTTAAATCTATTATGATGATCTAACATTTCAGGCATTGTTAAGTTTGTCAAGTCAGTAGAAGCTTTTGTTTCGAATGCCTCACATTTGTGGTGTAGGTGGTCCCGGTGGAGAACCGTCCCTCGTCCTCAGCCATGTTGCGGCGCTTCTCATGAATTTAAAAGGACCGCTGGGTCTAATGTTTGTTTCTCGCAGCCTCTTACGCAGTCGCTGACTTCAAGCTGCTCTCATGTAGGCTGAGCTCTGCCAAGTCCTCAAATGATCAGCTGTGTATGAATAACAGTGCACAGGGATGACTGGCTTTATCTCTGCCAGGCCCACAATCAGTCTCTCAGAAAACATTGCTGACAGACAGGCTTGTAAAACCATAAAACTGTATCAGTGGCAGTGATTGTTCAGGTGGTTCTGTGTTTACTTTTGCTTCTTTTTCTTTTTTTTTTTCCCTCCTGAGTTTATTGGAAAGCCACACACAGTTATATCCTTGTTGACACTGTTTCTGGTGTTTTACACACTTCAGGCAGTAAATGTTTCAGCTTCACACGACTTGTACACATTTGCATATTCGTGATTTAAGAAGTAAATACTGCTCTGCGATAGCCCCGACACGCTCCAGTTGGTGAAGGACATTTGAAGACGTTATAAATAAGTCTGCTTGTCTTTTACTATTTTAATGCTTAAACTGAATATTACACATTGTGCATGTTTTTCATAGTTTGCTCTGCTTCTGTTATTTTGGACATTTGCAGCTAAAACTTCTATTAATACACTTAATAATACTTGATTATGATTTATATTACTACTCTATAGCTGACGTTTGTGTGCTTCACCAGTTTTTGGGCGACGCTTTTAGGTTTTGTGGTTCAGATTTATTGCAACAAATAACTCGAGGAGGAATGCACAACTAGAAATAAAGCTAAAATTGTAATAATAATAATAAACTTTATTTATAGAGCGCTTTTCAAAACACACTACAAAGTGCTTTTCAATAAAATACATTTAAAATTTAAATAAAATAAGCACACAGAACAATGGAAAGCACACAAAACAGAACGAGAAGCTATAAAACATAACTTAAAACTTACCTAAAATCAGGAAAAGCTCTCTGATAAAAATGTGGAGTTAAGGACTTAAAAGACAGCACAGAATCAGCCGACCTGATTTCCTCGGGCGGGTCAGTCCAGAGCCTCGGCGACATCTCAAAAAGGTCCATCTATCTCTTCTCACATACTCTAGTCTACTATTATTGTTATTTTTATCTGTATTGGCTTAAAGAGTTTGTCAAATTTCTGAATCGTGGCATTATTTTACCTTCGCTCTAACAGTAGATTGTACAGACGGAGGTCAGATTGAGGCACGAGGTTCCAGGAGTGTGTTATCTGACACGAGCGCCGAGCAGCTAATCGATTTTACATCGAAATCAAGATTTAAACAATGCAATTAGCAAATTGCAAAGGTTGCAATTCGCAGTACACATTATGCAGTGACCCAGGGTTTGAACCATCGTGCACATCGTTTACAGATTCATGCCGTCCTCCTGTCACACGTTTGATTAGACTTCATGTGGCAGTCACATCGCATCACATGTTTTAAAAGTAAGAAACTGTGAACTGAAGCTTCTCTTTAAAGTATTATATTGAAAATTAACTCACAGTTTTGGTATCTGTCAGAAAAATCCTAATGCGATTTTCCCCCCAAATTTCCCTGTTGGATTCTGCGATGAGAGCGAAGGCATCATCTCTGCTGCTGGCCTTCCACGTGTCCCCCAAGGCTTATTACTGGTGCAAGCCAATGATCTCCATCCACTAGAAACACTTGTGCCTTTTCAGAACTCTTCAGGTTTAATATAGAAGCAGCTGCACAAATTGGCAAGATGCAAAGTCACCCGTCCAAGAAATCGCTAACTGCTTTTGCTCTGCTTCGACGGCCATGCGGCTCTGATTTTATCCTGCGAATAATCTCAGAGCATCTTGACGCGTTTGCTTCTCGTCTGATCCAAACAGTCCGAGGCGTGCTTGGGAAGACTAATGTCCACAATACATGGCTGCTCTCTAAAGGGATTTTTTTTATCTTAATACGAAGGTTGCTGATCTGGTCTAGTGGAAGTTTCGTCCTACTTGCAATCACTAATCGCTTGTCCTGTTCCTGTTTCTGTTTACATGTGTTAACCTTCAAGTCTGTGATTACTGGTGCATCATAAAACTTTCAATCGAAACACAAATTCTACACTCGGTTTACTCTCGGTGACTCACGCGCGCTGTAGTGTTCCCACATTTTCATTCCCCCTTCTCCACCCACTCGCACAGCGCACTCATGCTCTGGATGTCGTGTTTCGAGGAGGTCTGGGTCGGCCCGACGTGGGAGTAATGAAGGGATTGAGTTTGTTGTTGAAAACAGACTGATGTGGTAAATGTTAAAGCGAAGGGTAAATTCGGAATGTAAATTTTCGAGACACCTGCAGATTTATGCGCGCAGGAATGTCCTCTGGCTGTTGCTCCGTCACATTTTTATTCATACTTCTTAGATTGAAAACGGAGCCCTCTCCGCTCTGCCATCAACAGCATTGCCAAAAGAAAATGTGCCGCCACCATCTGTTGCTCCAGACAAGTTAGATTTAGAAGTGATGAGTTTCATTCTGTGCTCACGGAACAAGAAAACTCATCATTGATTTACACATTTTAGGTGTTACTCTCACTATACATGTCAGAGAGCGAGTAAAGCTGCTCATGACTCGTTTCACTTCACTGTACGATAACGAGAATTCATTTTCCGGTCATTGGGGTCGTGCAATTTATGATCCCACCCATCTGTAATGAACTTAGTTTATATTTGCATTAAATTATTTTACTAACCTTTTGTTTTCTCCCTCCAGTTCTTCCACTTCTCCTCGAAGGCGTTCCCTCCTCTGGACGGTCAGTTTGCCGGTCGTATCCGCTGGCAGGGCAGCCCGGCGCGTGGTGACGGCTCCATCTCTCTGCTCAACGCCACGCTGCATGACAATGGGACCTACACGTGCTCAGTCAGGAACCCTCCCGACGTCCACGGATCCCCGACGTCACACTCGGTCCTCACCGTCACGCCCAAGAGTAAGCGCTGCACAAGCTCACGCGCAAAATAGGTGTTGAAACTCTTTGTCCGTACGTTCCACCGTGTTCGTTTCCTCCCGTGTGCATGTCTGAGTCAAATCCTAATGATGTAAAGCAGACACCATTTTTGATGTAAAAATCACATTTAACTTAAAGCTCTATCAGCGGTTCTCACTATTATCTGTGGACCGTGTTCCTGCAGAGATGGGGCGGAGTGGACAAGCTTTAAAATTCCACTGCTACATGTTTAAAGACAGCAGACTAATCCAAACATCCATGCAGTATTTGTGTGAGCATGTCATCACGTCAGAGTTTTGCCTCGCACGCTGCCTCGGCTCAGCATGACTGGAAACTAACTCATCAGATTTGCTAACTCACCCTGAGTTCGACTGACACCACTGTGCAGAAAACATCTAACTCCAGCACAACTACAGCTCACTAACTAGCACATCACACATTGTCTGTTTATTTCCTATCTGGCAGCAGTTGCTAGGCAACCAGGAAGTCGTTGTAGGAAGACAGCGGCATGCAGCGTCCCGTCGTATAGCGAACTGTTATTGCTTTGGTAGAGATGAATAAAGAGCACATAGCTGACTAACTAGTGGACTGTAGGGGGGCTGGTGGGCTGATGTAGTGCAGAGTCAGGCTAGCTGTTCAACTGGATGCTTTTCTGAATACACGATTGTTTTGTCTTGATGTAGTAAATGTCACGTTGCCACCGCTGCGACCAAGAGCAGAGCGACACTCGTAGAGCTGCTGTCATCTGGTTTATCTGGTTTATGTGTCCAGAATAGAAGCAGATGGTATTAAGACCTGAGTCTGTGCCATCTGAAGCCTGATGACCTCACATTTGCTTCCTCCTCAGTGCCCAGCATTCGCTTCTCTGACGTTGCCGTCCTCCTCGCCTTCGTCCTCCTCCCCTCCGGTGTGATCACGCTCATCCTGATTGGACGCATGTTCTGCCCCAAGAAACAGCACAACCAATCCAAGGCCTACAGATCACCCATCGAGGTCACGGAGGGGTGAGTGGATTTATTCTACCAATCACCGGGGTGGGCCTCCCGGGGATCACGATAGTCACGGCAGGCTTTGATGCTCGCAGATGTGCGTCAGAGTTGCTAATTTGATAAAGGTTAAACAAGAATTTAAGTTTGAGCTGAGCGTTTGATTTCAGCAAGGTCTGCGTGTTGCGGGAAGCTGCTATGAATCAGCAATGAGCGTGCAGTTGGCCGATCTACAGGTCGGGTTGTAATGCGGCACCGTTAGTGGCTGTGATTCGAGGTCACGCAGCAGCTGGTATTTGCTCTTTTGACTGGTGTAATAAAGGAACATAAAAACTGAACAAGCCACTGCTCGTTAAAACGGCAGTGACTCATATTTACTTTGGGCTGTTCAGGTATTACATTTATTGTGTTTGAAAAGTTTTATGATTTATGTTGACTATTGTGTAGTATTTGTATTTGTTTTTGCTTTTATTACTTTAAGGCGTCCGATCTAAATCCTTTTTTTTTGTTTGACCTGCATTGTTCTCCGTCGTTGGAATTCCCAAAACGATCACAATGTTTTTAGTGAGAGAACTGTCCGGCTTTTTCAAAAATATCTTTGCTTCCTTGCTGAGAGTCAGATGAAGAGTTTGATACCACAGCCACATAAAAAATGGAGAAAAGCAAGTTAGCTTAGCATAAACACCAGGTAAGAAACAACTGCGACACGACTTTTTATCTACAGTGAACCCATAACATATGTAAACTATTGGTGGAGTTGATGTGCTGCAGAATGTAAACTCTTACCGGCTACCCTGCAGCAAAAAAACACAGTAAGCTTTCATTTTTTGAGCGTTGTGTCTTCAGGTTTTACACCCAGCAGGACGCTGTGAGACAGAGTTTGTGTGTTATTGGTAAGTTAACGTCTGCAGACTACAGTAGACCCTGTCAGTGATAGTGTTACTAAGCAACCGTCAGCTGATGCGGGCAAAATAAATCCAGACAGGCAGATCAACAGCCCGTTTGCTAAGTAGTCATTTATGTAGGCCAGTAGTTTAATTTTTAAAAATAATTCCGGCCCCTTCTTTTTTTTTTAACGGGGTTGCCCAACCTTTTTTTAAAAATATAAATAGATGACTGTTTATTTTTATGTTTAATCTCTGCAGCACATACACTCCTGCACAGCTTAGGCCTGGTGACGCCAGTTTGTTTGATTATAGTGGAAGTCAGCGTTCATTCAGAGTATCCACGGCTTTAAAGAGACAAACT